CTTCGGATGCATATAGAATGGAACATATTGAGGAGATATATATACACACATACAGAGAGCATGAACAGTGATATATCGCATGAGTTATCTTGCATAAAGCATATCGTAGTTGTGCCATATTCATGTCCCAATAATATTTCTATGAAGGATATGGTGGTGTCAGTGTGTCACAATCTCTGCTATTTTTATGATAATATGTAGACAAGAAGATGCTTTTTGATATTACCTGTTCAGCTCTGTGGCCATCAGGCATAAAAGAGGAATCCTAGAAACAGTAGAGGAAATCTAAGACTCCACTTATGACTCTGATCCTTAATCTTGTTGGCTGGTGAAGGAGAGTAAGAGCACTTAGAACACCTACTAACAACTATTTTCACCATGTGTTTTTGAGGAGGAAAATCTAACCCATCCAACTATTGAGCACTGGTCAGTACTTAGTCACAGTTCTCAGCCAACGGGAGCTGCAGAGGTGGCGGTTGGGGTAGGGGCAGTACGTGGAGGCACCTGGCTGCCCCTAAACATAGAAGCCAGAGGGGATACACATTGCTGCTTCTGGGAGCCTCGGCACATGTGGAGTGGCCTCTGACCCTGCTCCTTGGCTAGAGGGCGGGAGCAGGGCAAGCCCCAGACCCTGCTCCCCAGCGGGATCTCAAGGACTGGATTAAACTGGCTGGAGGGTTGGATGTGGCCCATGGGCCATAGTTTGCCCACCCCCACAGTAGTGCCTGATGGGAAACCAAGAACAGGTCTCCTTTGTGGTAGGCACTGTACAGAGTTTTCCTACCAAGTCACTCCCCCGAGTAGTTTACAATGTAATTAGACAAAACAGAGAAATGGAGGGGACAGGGACAGAACACAAAGCAGAATGAATGGCATAATTGTTGGTAATAGCCAATCAGCACAGCAGGAAAATGTCAAGACAGTAGGCAGTCTGATGACATCACTGTCCATTGCTCTCGGCTGAGGCTGCTTCTGTGTTTGTTCCGCCTGTCTGAAAGTCTCTCTGGGCCCATGACTGGCTCCTCCCAGGAATTTCATGGAGGATTAAGACAATGGCATTAAACTAGCAGCAGAAACTGACTAGGAGCCTGTCATAAATATAAAGGGAAGGGTAACCACTATACTATAAAATCCCTCCTGGTCAGAGGCACAAAATCCTTTTACCTGTAAAGGGTTAAGAAGCTCAGGTAACCTAGCTGGCACCTGACCAAAAGGACCAATAACTGAAAAATCCTAACAAATGGTGAAACCCAAGAAAAAGAGAATAAGAAAAGAAGAGATGAAAGACACTAGAGATGAAAGGCACAGAAAACATACTGGCAATGGCAGAAGTGAAACAGAACATGAGAGCCCAGACACATGAGGAGTAATCTAAAGATTAACCAGAAGGGATTTATTGGGAGTTATCCCGAACAAGCAGATGAACAGTAACTAACTCAACACTGTAAACCAAATTGTCTAAAAATTGGTGTAATAGAAGTGGGCAAAACTCTGTGGCAGCTGTATTCTTTGTTAAAAAGTAGAGAAAATAAAGGATATGAAGGAGGAGTGCACAGAGGGAGTCTCAGAGATGGAGGAAATTGGAGAAAAGAGAAAGGGAATCAGAGGGGCCCTCTGGGGGCTCCCCCCCATAACTCAAATGATCAGATGGTAATTTATCCCTGAGAGTGAGGGTTGAGGTCCCATATATGGGAAATGTACTTCTCTTGGGTTAAAAGCAACAAAGAGTCCTGTGACACCTTTAAGACTAACAGATGTATTGGAGCATAAGCTTTCGTGGGTGAATATCCACTTTGTCAGACGCATGTCTGGGTTGTTTCTTTCGGTCCAAGTGTTATTGGGAGAGTACAGGGTGTAGCGTTCAGGAAAGTACAGTCATTTGGGGACAGATTTATATATTTTGGTATTTTATTTTTGGATTTAAATGAAGGGGAAAGCTGGAGCAGGTAGGGAAAATAATAAAGGAGATAGCTGTGGAAGTCTACAAACAGAAATCAAACCATATCTAGGCAAACCATTTTAATACAATACAGTTAGAAATGCGAGAGACAGCTGCATTTCAAGTCTTAGAATCCATATAAGAGCATTTTTTAAAAAGGGTGAAGTTCCATTACAGAGTAACACCCGGCTTTCCCATAATGGAAAGTGGTCCATTATAGACTGCGAGTGAATCAAGATCAAGAGATGGTCAAGAATCTATTGGAGAGAAATTAACTACAAATAACCTGCTGTGAAGCCAGAAAACAGAAGAATGTATATGTGGGTCAAATCTCGATTCCCCAAAAGTCCAATTCACATATTTTCATCCCGCATTATAAGATGCACATTTCTCTCCCATATAAATTAAACATACCATAGACAATTTGTTTTGTTCCTTCAATATGACACTCACCCTGAATTAGAAGCTTGACATTTATGTACCCTAGGAATCAGATACATCCATCTCTCTGTACATAAATAATCTGTCTTGTTCCTGCCATGTCAAGCCTCATGTTCTACTATATGTCCTAAAAGACGTGAAATGAAAGGTATTAGATAAACCACAGAATGTTGTTTTCTTTCTAAACTATTATTGTACTAAAGAAGTGGTAGAAATGAAGAAGAAAGGAATATTGAAATAGATAAACACCTATCGAGAAATTCCTTAAAGGGGGAAATTTCAGTTGGGAGTCTTGACTAATAATAGGAGTACTTGTGGCAACTTAGAGACTAACAAATTTATTGTAGCATAAGCTTTCATGGGCTACAGCTCACTTCATTGGATGCATGTAGTGGAAAATACAGAAGGAAGATATATACACACACACACACACATACGTACACACACACAGGGAACATGAAACAATGGGTGTTACCATACACATTATAAGGAGAGTGATCAGTTAAGGTGAGCTGTTGTCAGCAGGAGAGAAAAATAACTGTTTGTAGTGGTAATGAAAATGGCCCATTTCCAGCACTTGACAAGGAGATATAAGGAACAGTAGGAGGGGGAAAGATAAGCATGGAGAAATAGTTTTACATTGTGTAATGGCCCATCCACTCCCAGTCTTTATTCAAACCTAATTTAATGGTGTCCAATTTGCAAATTAATTCCAATTCAGCAGTCTCTCATTGGAGTCTGTTTTTGAAGTTTTTTTGTTGTAATATCGCGACTTTTAGGTCTGTAATCGAGTGGCCAGGGAGGTTGAAGTATTCTCCAACTGGTTTTTGAATGTTATAATTCTTGATGTCTGATTTGTGTCCATTTATTCTTTTACATAGCGGCTGTCCGGTTTGGTCAATGTACATGGCAGAGGGACATTGCTGGCACTTGATGGCATATATCACATTGTTAGATGTCCGGGTGAACGAGCCTCTGATAGTGTGGTTGATGTGATTAGGTTCTACTGACCGCTATACTTACCTACATGCCTCCAGCTTTCATCTAGACCATACCACTCGATCCATTGTCTACAGTCAAGCTCTATCATACAACTGCATTTGCTCCAGCCCCTCAGACAGAGACAAACACCTACAAGATCTCTATCAAGCGTTCTTACAACTACAGTACCCATCTGCTGAAGTGAAGAAACAGATTGACAGAGCCAGAAGAGTACCCAGAAGTCACCTACCAGAGGACAGGCCCAACAAAGAAAGTAACAGAACACCACTAGCCATCACCTTCAGCCCCCAACTAAAACCTCTCCAGCGCATCATCAAGGATCTACAACCTATCCTGAAAGATGATCCCTCACTCTCACAGATCTTGGAAGACAGACCTGTCGTCGCTTACAGACAGCCCCCAAACCTGAAGCAAATACTCAGCAGCAACCACACACCACACAACAAAAACACTAACCCAGGAACCTATCCTTGCAACAAAGCCCATTGCCAACTCTGTCCACATATCTATTCAGGGGATACTATCATAGGACCTAATCACATCAGCCACACTAACAGAGGCTCGTTCACCTGCACATCCACCAATGTGATATATGCCATATATATATATATCTTCCTTCTGTATTTTCCACTACATGCATCCGATGAAGTGAGCTGTAGCCCACGAAAGCTTATGTTACAATAAATTTGTTAGTCTCTAAGGTGCCACAAGTACTCCTATTCTTTTTGCGGATACAGACTAACACAGCTACTACTCTGAAACCTGGACTAATAATGAAATACAATCTGTGAAATGAATGAAATATAAGATCCCTCTGACAAAGAAAAGCATCTGAGAGATGCGTTGTACATCAATACCACCTACTGGAGATCCACACTTGTCATTATCTCTGTGCACTGACGGGGCAAGTGTCCAATAGAAAATCAGAGAGTAGCCCTGGCCAATGAGCCCTACAATCTGGGTATATAAGACTGAGGTCACTGTGTGGGACCCCAGAGTTGCTGAACACATTGAAGAAGCTGCAGTACTGAGAAGCACTACTGGACACTTGACCAGCCCCACAGACCAACTCTCCCTGTCCTAGGGTTACCAGGACTGAGGAAGAAGCAGTGAGAATTATTTTCAGAGATTGTATTTCTCTTTGTGATCTTTATGTGTATATATATGAAACTGAACTTTATCTTGTTGCATGTACCCTCTTGTTAATAAGATCTCAAGTAACCACGTTATGGATTTTTACTAAATAAGGCTATATGCATGTTTCTCCTTCCAGTATATTGGCCAAATACAACCTCAAAATACAGCTTTATGCAATTGTTTTTGATATCTTAAACTTGTCTCTTTCATACCAAACACTTCAACTAGCAGGCACCATATTCTACTCCTGACAGAATTCTGCGCCAAAAAATTAAAAATTCTGCACACAATATTTTAAAAGTCTGCAAAATTTTGTCTGTCAATAAAGAAATGCGGCTCTGCCATGGCAGTGAGGAGCACAGGCACCGGCTGAATTGAAATGGGAGATCACCCTGAAGCTCCCACCTGCCTCAGGTCAGGGATTCGGCAGTGAGGCTGCACCTGACCCTGACACAGTGCAAGGGCCAGGCCTAACCCAGAAACACCCCAAGGCCCTGCCCCTCAGCACCAGGTGCACCAGGTGTGGGTGGGCAGGCTCAGCCCAGCAGGATCTGAATGTGGACGGGATCCAGGTGTGGGGTGAGAGGTTTCTGTGTGGGGCAATCTGGGTGCGGGCAGCTCAGTGGGAGTTCTGTATGCACAGTGGCTCGTTGTGGCGGGGGGGTTCCAGGTTCAGGGCAATGGGACTCTGCAAGGGATCCAGGTGAAGGTGTTTGGGGCTCAGCTG